GGACACCTGATCACCTGATAGCATAAATTACCCCTTTAGTGTTGCAGTTCGTGAATTTGGTTAAATCTTTTGCCCTCTTGAATATCTGTAAACTCTTGTCATCCTGCTGGTATTTTTTACAGTAGACACAATGCCCACATGGATGGTGCCCTGTTGGAGGGGGGGGTGTCTTTCCAGATATAACCTAGTTTTTGTTGTTTCTCTTTAAAATCAATGCTAATCAAAATGTCAGCAAGATTTTTAGTTCTTTTGAAAGAGATTTGTGGCTTCTCTAAACAACCTGGTATATTGTTCAAGATATGGCAATGGGTTTTAATACAGTTTTGAAGTTTGTCAGTAACGTAGCTGTATGTGAGGTTACACAATTAATACAATTCTCTGGATTTCTATTTTGCTTATGAAGAAGATCCTTCCTTCTGGTCTGAATAGCTTTAGTAAAGTTTTTGTTAATGACATGTTCTGCGTAGCCTTTGGCTGACAATTGTTTTTTTTTTTTTAATTGATGGGATTCTTGCATGAAATCTTCTCTCTTGGTACCGTTCCTTTTGATTTTAAGGAATTGCCCCTATGGAAGGTTGTATCTGAAAGGTCTCGGGTGAGAACTGTCAAATCTTAAGAACTGCAATCTGTGGGGTTTTTTTAAATAAAGGGTGGTGTATAATTTGCCTGCCTCTTTTTTTATGGTCAGGTCCAGCAAATGAATTTCTGTGTCATGAGATTCCATGTCAAACTGGATATTGTGGTCCAATGAATTCACCCATCTAAGAAATTGTAATATTAAATTATCTTGTCCTCTCCAAATTATAAAAATATCATCAATATACCTGACCCATTTTATCAGATGTTTATTAAAGGAATTAGATTGAGAGGTAACATTTTTTCCCAATGATTCCATGTAAAGATTGGCTGTTTCTGGAACCATAGGACATCCCATGGGTACTCATTTTACTTGCCAATAAGATTTATTTTCAAATTTAAAATAATTTTAATTTTAAGGGCTATTTCTGCTAGTGAATATAAAAATGAAGAGGGTGGATATTTTTCTGTCCTTTTGTTTAAGGTGTCATAGATAGTATTTAATGCTTCTTCTTGAGGTATATGAGTATAAAGAGAATTGACATCCATAGTGATCAATATGTCATGATCGTCTACTTCAATGGGTGCTACTTTGTTAATGAAATCTCTGGATTCTTGAATATATGATGGTATCAAAGGTATAAAAGGTTTTTTTAAAAAATCTACAAATTTGGAAAGTGGCTCTAGGACAGAATTGGATCCAGATACAATGGGTCTCCCTGTTATTGGCTGGTGTTCTTTATGAATTTTTGTAAGGGTATAGAACACCAGTATCCTTGGGTTTGTGTTTAGTAAAAAATTATATTCTGAATTACTTAATCCTTCTTCTAGTGTAAATTTAATATCTTTGGTGATATCTTGAGTGGGATCATGAGTACATACTTTGTAGGCTGAACTAGAGGAAGATGTTTGCTTTTTCTTGTTTGTGAAATCTTCAAAACAAAATTAAATTCTCCTGGCTGCAGTTGGCATTCCCCCCTTCACTACCTACAACTCTAGTTGGACTGGAAGTGAAGTTAACACCACTAATGACTTTAGTTTATAAATAAGCATTAATAATTGGCTCAAAATTCTATTTTGTACCCAATCAGGCTTTGTAACATTATAATACAGGAAGATGAAATTTAATTCATGGAAAACCTTTGTAATGAATCTTTTTTGCTCAGTTTTTCAGAAGAGAATGTGATGCACCTCAACTTTTCTACAGCAAAACGTGTGTTAAAGCAAAGACTAGTAGATCTCTGTGTTCAAACAGTTATGGTATATTAGGCACCTGAAGAACTGCCCCTCTGTATAAAAAGATATCTGTACCAGCTTTGACTTGTCCATGTTATTTTAATGACATTATGAACACTGATTGCAGAGAAGCCTTCTTTGAGGCATGTTTAGATATGCTGCGACTTGCAGTGTTAGAAGGCCAGCTATAAAGGAATTCCACACAATGAGTCTGCTCCTGTGATCCCAAATCAATTGATAGCTTTTATATATGTCATGTTTTACCATCCCTAGTTTGCAGCAGAGTATACAAGATGACAGAATTCTATTTTGGAACCATTCCTAGAAGATCTGATCAGGATAAACTGAACCTTCCTGTTTGTCCCACATTTCATGTTTTAAAATCTAAAAATCTTTCCATTCCAAATCTAAGCATTTCATCGATTTATACGAGAATCAAAATTCCCATTAGCACCACCCTGACACTGATTAGGCCCTTTTCCTCATGTGGAGAGACCACTAGGAAGGGCTTGCCTTTCCAGTGTTCTACACTGTTTGTTTTGGCATTTTCATTCATTTTATTCTTCTCTTTTCCTTTCCAGACTGGACAGCTACCAGAATGTTGCTTTGGGGGGCCTGGTTCACTATTCTGTCTGGTAAGTATAGTCATATCTTGTCAAGCAGTGCTCCTGATTCATTCAAATCCCAAATTACTAATTTTATTGGCTTGATTTGGATCAACTAGGGTTAAGTCTGGACTGATGTGAAAAGTCCGGTTTTGGTTCTGGGGCACAACAAAACAACTTTGATAACCAGTCTGATCTGGGGAAGAGAGCCAATCACATGGGGCTCAATTTGTTTGAGGCCAGATCAGGATACATTCCAAAAAGCCCAAATTGGCTTCCAGACCAAATGGGGAATCCATGCATAGTTGTAAAGGTGGCATGCTCGCTTGAGAGAGAGAGAGAGAGATAATGATGGCAATCCAAAATAACATACACACACATTATGTGTTAGTATTAGGACAGGAAGTCTTTTTAATGGTTGTGAGCACTGACAGCTCTGCCATGAGTGCAACAAAGTCCAATTTCAATTAATTAATTAATTAATTAATTAATTAATTAATTAATTAATTAATTAATTAATTAATTAATTAATTAATTAATTATTTATTTATTTATTTATTTATTTGACTTTTACCCCGCCCCTCTAGACCATGTTACTCGGGGCGGCTAATTTCTGTCCTCTTCACCTTGGTGTCCCATTTCTTCAACTTGTGGTGTGAAATCCGGCCTTTTCTTGAGCTATCTAGTACGTCAAGGATAAGGAACGTCTAATTAGAAAGGGAGCTGCCCAGCAAGGAATACTAGAAGAGAGACATGGTTAGGCATGTGCATTTTTTCTTTGTTTGCATGTTTGTTTGGGACTCCCAACTCCCAGGATTCTCCAAGAATTCCTCAGGCAGAGTTCTGGAAGTTCCAGTCCACAGACCCACACCTGGAGACACCTACATTTTGCTCACCTTGAGACAGCGAGCTTCAAGGCCACATGACTTTCTTTGGCCTTGCTTTCTGTTAAACATGGAAACTGCCATGAGGAACCCCGGGAATAGCATTCTTCCTGCCCTTTAGGCTCTATAGAGGGCATCTCCCAAAACAATTACCCCACCCAAGAAGCACTACAGCAGCTTCCATTTTTAACAGGAAGCAAGGACAGAGAAAGCCATGCAACCTTGTAAGTACCCCTTCTCCAAGCGAAATAAATATAGATGTCTATAGTTCTGTGTCTGTGGGATCGAATTTTGAGAATTCTGTCTGGGGAATTCATGGAGAATTCTGGGAGTTGGAGTCAACAAAATACGAACGGCGCATCCCTAGATGTTATTTCAGCAGTGGCCAGGTTCCAACTGAGCATTTTTCTGGGGTTCAGGGGTTGTTCGTGGCTGCCCATGAACCACAGACACATCAATTGGTCATTTTTCCGGCTTGTGTCCATCTCCAATCACCACCAACATTGCAATTCTCATCTTTTGGAACATTTTGTTCATTTGTCTTTTGGGTTTTAATTATGGAAAGTAATCAGTGTGAGAAAGTCAGATTCCATCTTTCGAGGGCCCTGGTTTCCTAGGGTCCTTTGCGAAGTGAGCTTTCTCCCCGCCAGCCATATTCAGGGCTACAATCTTTTCCGGGGCTTTCATAGGAAGGCTGAAGCTCCAGCATTGTCTTGGGGAGAAGGAATCCCGCATCTTTCCAAGGATCTTTTGGACTACAAAGCCGTTGCTGGACGCTGGACTTATCCAATAGATGTTATTGGCAAAATAGTCTTCCCTCCACCATATTCAAGCACAATAATACAAACAGGGTCCAAAATGGCCGCCGTTTTCGCGCCCTTGGTAAGCGAGGGGAGGAGGTGGAAGGGGAATCTGAAGGAATTTGGAAGTTGCCTTGGAATTATTCCATGTTCATATTTATTGGCCAAAATCCTATTGAGTTACGTTTGCATAACATTACTGCTGCTGTTCTAACGGCACCAAGGCAGAAGTGTTATTCATAAAGCACTTCTGCCATTGCATTGCACAGTTGGTCATGACTGCAACCATGAAACTTGTGCAATCAAATTGCACAGTCCTCATTGCTGGCTGTAATATCTGCCAAATTTATGCAGGCATGAAGAGGAACAGGATTCCAGCCATTAAGTTCAATAAAGATATTCAGAGGCTTAATTTTCCCCCGGATTAACCCTCGCTGCGTGAAACATCGCTCAACGGAAAGTAAAAAGCCATTGGAACGCATTAAACATGGTTTAATGCGTTCCAATTCAGCCGAATACTCACCGTTGTGCGATGTTCCGGGATGGCCGGCAACCATTTTCACGCCCTCCCCTCGCTGAACGAGGGTGCAAAAACACTGCGATCAGCTGTCCGGTGGGTCCAAAATGGCCACCGTTTTCGCGCCCTTGGTAAGCGAGGGGAGGGTGCGAAAACGCTGTGCGCGGCCCTTTCGGCTGTTCCGGCGGCCATTTTGAAGCCGCAGAACAGCTGATCGGCGGGTCGCAAAGCGAAGGTCGGTAAGCCAAGTAGTAGTAGTAGTAGTAGTAGTAGTAGTAGTAGTAGTAGTAATCTCCAGCTTCATTACTTGAAAGTCCTAGGGTATAATTTTGCTGATAGTTTTTTTTCCATTTATGAGCAGAAATTTGTTTGTCTTTCCTAGCAGCTTTGCATCTGGGGAGCCTTTATGCCAATCCCTGTCGTGAGGCACGTTGTGGCCGGGGATATGTCTGCATGATTGTGCACAATCAGCCACAGTGCGTCCCGGAGACTCAGACTTGCAGTACCATCCAGTGCCAAGAGGGGGAGCTCTGTGAGATAGCTGAGGGCTTGCCTAAGTGTGTCCCTTACCCAGCAGCTTGTCATCATCTCCAGTGCCCAGAGGGGACTATCTGCGACCTGACAGATGGCTCTCCTAAATGTGTGCCTGCGCCACAGACATGTGCTGCCATTCAGTGCAAAGAGGGCACCATCTGTGTGATGACTAACCATTGGCCAGAATGCGTCCCAGCGCCTGCATCCTGCCAATCAGTGCAATGCAGTTCAGGAACGGTGTGCCAGCTCATCCACGGTTGGCCCCAGTGCCTGCCCAGCCAGCTTTCCTGCCACAGATTGCGATGCCAAGAAGGGACTGTGTGCAAGATTGTGCATGGCCAGTCTAAGTGTGTCTCAGCTCCAGCATCGTGCGGAGCCATCTTGTGTGAATCAGGAACCATGTGTGAAATGGCTGGTGGTCACGCAAAGTGCGTTCCCTTGACTACGTCCTGCCTGCACGTTGAATGCCAGCCAGGGACTATGTGTGACCTTACTGATGGATGGCCAAAATGCGTCCCAAGACCATCATGTGACACAATGAATTGTGAGGCTGGCACTGAATGCAAAATTGTGAATAGCTTGCCTACATGCCTCGCGCTCCAACTCTCCTGTGACAAAATCATCTGTAAACCAGGGGCTGTGTGTCAGACACTCAATGGTAAGCCCATCTGTGTGCACACTCCACCTTCCTGCAATGCAGTCCGCTGTGAAGAAGGAACCATCTGTGAAATTACACACGGTTCACCCAAGTGTGTGCCTGCCGTAACATCATGTGACAACATCCAGTGTGTGCCAGGTACTATCTGCCAGGTGGTAAATGAATGGCCCAGGTGTGTGCCCCTTCCTGACTCCTGTGAGAAACTTGAATGTAAAGAGGGGACCGTATGTGACGTTGTCCATGGCTGGCCCACATGTGTTCCAGATCCGACAGCATCTTGTGCGTCCATTTCTTGCCAAGTGGGGACTGTATGTGAAATGATTAACAGAGTGCCAACATGTACACCTTCCCCGCTCTCCTGTTCAAAATATCAGTGTGAAACGGGAACTGTCTGTGAACTAGTTCAGGGGTGGCCAACTTGTGTTGCCTTTCCACCTTCATGTCAGAATTTAGAATGCACCCCAGGGACTGCTTGCAAAATGGTTGATGGTCAGCCTAAATGTGTCCCCACCACCCCTCGCACCTGTGGCATGCTCCGATGCCAAGAGGGAACTATCTGTAAAATAGTTGATGGTTGGCCCCAGTGTGTCCCGGTCCCTGCCGCCTGTGGAAATATCCATTGCAAATCTGGGACCATTTGTGAAGTTGTTGAAGGTTGGCCCCAGTGTGTCGCAATGGAAATGTCCTGCGACCAAATGCAGTGCAACGAGGGAACACTTTGTGAAATGGTGGATGATTGGCCCACTTGTCTTCCTATCGCAAGTACCTGTGAAAAAGTCAGCTGTGATATTGGGAGCAAGTGTGAGATATATGAAGGTGGACCACAGTGTCTTCCTCTCTCACCTTCTTGTGAAAAATTCCAATGTGGAGAGGGGGCAATCTGTGAAATGAGTCAGGGTTGGCCAAAATGTGTCCCCGTTCCTACCCCAACTTCTTGCGAAAGTGTTAGTTGCAACGAAGGGACCAAGTGTGAGATATATGATGGACAACCACAATGTCTTCCCCTCTCACCTTCTTGTGACAAATTCCAGTGTAAAGATGGGACAGTTTGTCAAATCAATGATGGTTGGCCCCAGTGCATTCCCATTCCCATTGCATCCTCTTGTGAGCAAGTCTGGTGCACTGAAGGTAACAGGTGTGAGATATATAATGGACAACCACAGTGTCTTCCCCTCTCACCTTCTTGTGACAAATTCCAGTGTAAAGATGGGACAGTTTGTCAAATCAATGATGGTTGGCCCCAGTGCATTCCCATTCCCATTGCATCCTCTTGTGAGCAAGTCTGGTGCACTGAAGGTAACAGGTGTGAGATGTATAATGGGCAACCAACATGTCTACCCATCTCACCTTCTTGTGACAAATTTCAGTGCAAGGATGGAACAACTTGCCAAATCCATAATGGTTGGCCCAAATGTGTCCCCATTCCTATTGAATTCTCTTGTGAACACGTCAGCTGCAGTGAAGGTACCAAGTGTGAGATATATGGTGGACAACCGACATGTATTCCCCTGCCACCTTCCTGCGACAAATTTCAATGTAATAATGAGTCGGTCTGTCAGATCAGGAATAGCTGGCCCGTATGTGTTCCCATTCCTGCTCCTATTCCTGCCATCCCCGCCCCAGCCACTTGTGAAAATATGGCCTGCAGTGCAGGTACTGTGTGTGAAATTTATGGTGGGCAACCAGTATGTCTTCCTCTCTCACCCACTTGTGACAAATTCCATTGCAACGTTGGGTCAGTGTGTCATATCAGTAACGGTTGGCCGCTTTGTGTCCCCATTGCTCCCTCCTGTGGAAACGTCACTTGTAATGTGGGAGCCGTATGCCGAACGGTTTCTGGGTGGCCCCAGTGTGTCCCCAGTCCATCTTCATGTGCACAATTCAGTTGCAGCATGGGAACCATGTGTCAAATCATTTCCGGTTGGCCCCAATGCATTCCCCTTGTACCATCTTGTGACCATTTCCATTGCACACAAGGGACTGTTTGTAAACTCGTTAACCACTGGCCCCATTGTGTTCCCAACATACCCTCTTGCAGTACCTCCCATTGCAAAGAAGGCATGATCTGTGAGACCATCCGGGGCGTGCCAACTTGTGTACCTATTCCGGCTTCTTGTGACAAAACTCGCTGTCAACAAGGAACAGTGTGTCAGACTGTACATGGTCGGCCAACTTGTGTTCCAGCATCAGTACCACATTGTTCTTCCATCCTGTGCCATGCGGGAACGGTTTGTCAGCTCATTAACGGGAGCCCGCAATGTGTGCCAGCTCCACCTTCCTGTGACAATTTCCAGTGCAGAGCGGGGACTGTCTGTAACCTTGTGAACGGCTTGCCCCAATGTGTTCCCATTCCAGGTTCCTGTGAAAGGGTTCGTTGCCAAAGGGGGACGATATGTCAAGTGGTCAGTGGCCGAGCCCAGTGTGTAGCCACCGTAGCTCAAACATGCCACACAATTCGTTGCAGGAGGGGGACTCTGTGCAAAGTGGTGGACGGCTCGCCCAAGTGTGTTCCTGCTCAGCCCATCCAGCCTGCCTGTTGGGCCTCTGGCCAGCCCCATTACCACACGTTTGATGGACGCAGCTACGATTTCCAAGGCACCTGCGCTTATACCGTAGTTAAGACCTGCAGGCCCAGCCACCAGCTCCCTTTCTTCCACATCTTCACTAAAAGTCAGAAGAGCTCTCCGCTGTTCCTCATCAGCCACGTCACTGTCAACGTCTACAATTTCAGCCTCACCATGGTCAGATACGAATACGGCCTCGTCCGAGTAAGTGCCCATTTCTCTGTGATTTCACTAAAACTAGGGAATGACCACAAAATGTTGGGAACACGGTCATTCAGGATTCCACTACTCCATTCCTTGTTTATTGTTTATTTATTTAATTAATTTACATTTCTATCCCACCCAAGCTGTATCACATAATGATAGGAAACAAAACAAAACAAAAATTCAGAAAAGTTTTAAAAAATGATCATGGTAAACATGAACCCTAAGAGTACAATAGCATTAAACACAGAAAGATTACTACTAATAATAATAATAAAAATAATAACTCCAAATATTTAACAGGTACTTAGGTTTTTGGTTAAAACGTGTATCTGTTATATAATACCAGCCAATGTTCAATGTTTTTATAATTTGGATTGATTGTGTCTGGTATTATTATTATTACGGTCATTCAGGATTCCACTACTCCATTCCTTGTTGTTTATTTTTTTAATTGTTTATTTATTTATTTATTTAATTTAATTAATTTACATTTCTATCCTGCCCAAGCAGTATCACATAATGATAGGAAAATAAAACAAAACAAAAATTCAGAAAAGTCAAAAAAAGGAATATGGTAAACATGAACCCTAAAAGTACAAGAGCATTAAGCACAGAAAGATTGCTGCTACTACTACTACTACTACTAATAATAATAATAATAATAATAACTCCAAAAGTTTAACAGATACTTAGGTTTTTGGTTAAAACATGTATCTGTTATATGATACCAGTCAATGTTCAATGTTTCTATAATTTTGATTGATTGTGTCTGGTGGTAGTAGTAGTAGTAGTAGCAGTAGTAGTAGTAGTAGTAACAGCAGCAACAACAACAACAACGATTATGATGATGATGATAATAAAAATAATAGGCCAGAAGAGAGAAGTACACAAATTTAGAATGTGACCAGTCAAAAAAACCCAAGAAAATTAATCAATAATAATAAAAATTATTTAATCTGGGGCAAGGCTATGCAAAGGTGTCTGAAAAGAGCCAGGTGTTGTCTCCTAAAACCAAGAAAGGGTGGGGCCAGTCACATCTCTGATGGGAGAGAATTCTAAAGCAACATGTTGTTGTTAAATCTGATTTTTTAAAAATATACTCTCCACCAAGCCTGATGTCACCTCTCTATCTATCTCTTATGAAGGGGTGTGGGGTTGTGTCCCTCCCCTAGATGTTAGAGGATTCCAACTTTCATAACTCCTCACTATCGGCTGCACTGATTACAGCAAATCGGAGCTGCAGTCCAGCAAGCCTGGACTGCAGCTCCCATTTGCTAATGAGATGCAGTCCAGTCATTTTTCCAGGTCTGTTTTAAAAAATGTTTGAATATACATTACGGAGGGAAAGAAGTCTATTGACAGATATTGTCTCTGACGACCCTGTTCATGGGCTTCCAAGAAGTATCTAGTTGGCTGTTGTTGGCCATAGTTGCCCACCCTTGTACTTACGTGGGGTAGTGGTACCATTTTGTGCCACGTATGCATGTGTATTCTGCATATATTACATTTATACTCCACATTTCCACTAGAAGAAAAGTAGGGTGACTACAAAAGATGGATCGATGGCCCTTTCTCCAACAAACTTCCTATTAAAGTAAGGTTGTTTTCCTACAACTGGAAGCCACACAATGAACACTTCTGTCTTCGTTAACTTGAATCCTATCCACCCACTATGGTTGTGTTTCTTTCTTTTTTTAGATTAGACTGCCCACCTCTAATCTTAATGCAAAGGCAATGGTTATTCTTTTTTATCTGTTCTGCCACTTCTAGGTCAACCAAGTACGTTCCCGCCTGCCCATCGTCTTGCACAACGGGCACCTCTCCCTCTCCCATCGTGGAAACCAACTGGTCATCGAAACACAGTTTGGCCTGAAGGTTTACTATGACTGGAACTATTACCTCGTTGTGAAGGTCACTCCAGCCTTTCGGAACCATCTCTGTGGCCTCTGTGGCAACTATAATGGGGACCCCAATGATGACTTTATTACTTCCTCCGGAAAGGTGGCTACCAACACCGTGGAGTTTGGCAAGAGCTGGAAGGTGGAAGATGGAGACCGTGCTTGTAGTCACGGCTGCCGTGGCCAATGTAAGCGCTGTTCTCCAGAGTTGGTGGCCAAGTACAGTTCAGAGACCTTCTGCAGCCTGATCACTAAGCACCAGGGTGGCCCGTTCCGACAATGCCATGCCTTGATTGATCCCAAGCCCTACCTGAATGACTGCGTGAATGATTTATGCACCTTCGATGGCTACAAGCAGATCTTGTGCCGAGCATTAAAGACTTATGCTGATGCCTGCCAAAGAGAAGGAACGACCATTTCTGCCTGGAGGAAAGCCGCCGGCTGCCGTGAGTACAGCAACAAATGCAGCAAGAGATAAAAGTCAGACCAGTAAAATAAAGTGTTAGTGCAAGAACGCGGAAAATTCAGCAGAGTTAGCAGAATAAAGTCCAGTCCAGGCAGTCCAAAAGAATCACGCACACGCAGGCAGCTTCACCAACACCAGTGTGTATTTACAGGCTATACATAGCAGTGCAGTCCAACAGCATAACACTCATCAGAACAGGAGGAAGTACATCTACTGTACAGAGTACACATATATACTCCTGCATATCTGTCTATGTCCAATCATATTATTTTATTTTTATTTTATTTTTATTTATTTACTCAGCATTTCTACACACCTTATTCTGCTCATTAACACACCTTATTCTGATCAGGCCTGTAAATTTACCTTGACAAAAAGCAATAGACATTTCTTGGAAAATGTTTTCCTCTCATAGTTTCAGAAGGGAATATGTTTTAGAAAGGTTATGTAAATATATGTACGTACTGCCTGTAGATATTTAGTAATGTCATCAGAGCCTGTGAAGACGGGTGATTATCCCCAAATCACCAATGTTAAAACATCAGGAAATATAATTCAATTAATTAGTTTGTTAAACTTTCAAATTTCATCTAGAATCAGTGGAAATGATTCATGCAGCAAGAAATATTGAAATGGTATTGTTTGATGGTTTCACCATTCCAATAATGAATCTTATATTCATGGTGGAAAATAAGAAACTGAACTGACTACAAATGGCCGATATCCAAGCTCTGGATATAGTATTGAGTAGGATGATCGTTGTCAGGTATCAGAAAAGAAAGTGGAAAATTGATAGACACAACCTATAGAAATAGACTGGCTGACACTAGAGAAATTGGAAGATCCCGGATCGTTGAGATGGCAGGAATATTAATGCCAGGATTCATCCTTAGGAAGTGTGTTAAGATGCCAGCAGATCTGTATCAATCAGAACTTAGAATCATAAAAAGAATCGTAGAATCATAGAAAACATATTTCTTTGAACTAAAATTTCAAAGGTCCAACAGATGAAAACATGGCCTTCAGGGTTTTCCAGGTAGAAAACACTCAGAAGTGGCTTATCATTCCTTTCTTCTGGAAGCGCCCTGGGACTATGCAGCTTGCCCAAGGCCACACAGGCTGGCTCTACTTCACAGGAGGCCCAGTGGGGGGAATCGAACTCCCAACTTCTGGCTCCACAGCCAGATCCTTAAACAACTGAGCTTTCCAGCCAGCTGTGGTACCAGCTGGCAAAGAGCTGCAAGTGGGTGCTCGGGTTTTGAAACTATCTCATCTGAAGAAAGAAAATAAAAAATAAAAACTTCTCCAATGTTTCTTACCCTGAGATTTGTCTTCTTCCTTCCGGGAGATGCAAGGTGTAGAAATTCCCAGAGACCTGACAATTCTGTCTTGGATAGAGAGGTTTCTCCATCACTGAGCCTTTTTTTAAGTGGCGAGACTAGGGACGAAACTTGTCACTTGCGATGTACAGATGAAGCACTGTATACTGAGTTGCAATCCCACCTGCAAAGCCAAAGTCTCAGGCCCTGAGGAGACGAAAGCAAAAAATAAATGGAAGGGATTGGCAGCAAGAGATGAGGACCTACAGTTCTGACCTCCTTAGGAAAGACTGAATTTGCCCCACTTCTACTGACGTTTAGGTCTTACACATATTCATAAGAGAGGATGCTGTAAATAGATCAGGGGAACATACCTTGTTCCCATCTCCATAAAATAAGCTGCGCAATTAAGGTCCAGTTTAGAGGCAGACTGTAACCATTTTGTGTGTTATTTTATTTTAATGTCATAATGCAATAATTTTCTGATGACGAAGTAAGTTCCATCAGAATCAGAATCAAGGCAGCTTTTCATACAGAAAAGGCACTTATCACTGTATGGGGCAGGGCGGGGAACAAATAGCCAATGATGCAAATATGAACTATATCACTGTATGGGGCGGGGCGGGGATAATTTGTGCAACAAATTATTTGTGCAACAAATAGCCAATGATGCAAATATGAACTCTGTATTTGCCGGTATATCCCATAGTCTTTAACACCATTTAATGCCAAATGTGCATGGCATTACAGTGAATTCCTTCCCATTGTTTTCTTTCAAGGAACTGTTGGAAATACAGTTTTGTGATTCAGTGGTTCAATGTTTAAATACTGAAATACTTTACAGTGCAATTCCCTAGCTAGGCATCCTCAGAATAATGATTGTTTTACTATATAGGAGATACGAGTCACAGTTCCCATCATCAAATACACACAAAGGGCGTTGGGGGAAAGCTGCAGTCAGCTGCTCTGGAGGAAAGAGAAAGCCTTGAGCAAGATCATTTAAATGTTGCCAACCTCCTCTCTCTTTTTCATTTTTTTTTCTGCTGACAGCTTTGACTTGCCCACTCCTCTCTTTTTTTTCTTTTTTCTTTTTTTCTGCTGACAGCTTTGACTTGCCCTGACTACAGCCAGTACATGGCCTGTGGCTCAGCCTGTCCGGCTACCTGCACCCATCCTGATGCTCCGAAGAACTGCCATCTACCCTGCCTGGAGACCTGCCAGTGCAAGGCAGGCTACGTGCTGGACGGTGGCAAGTGCATTCCCCAAAGCCGATGCGGCTGTATTTACCACGGCCAGCTCTATGCGCCCAACGAGCGGTTCTGGGGGGATCATCAATGCCACCAGGAGTGTTTGTGCAGGGCACAAGACAAGAGTGTGGTCTGCCAAGCATCCCGTTGCAGGGATGCAGAAGGGTGCCACGTGGTCAATGGCAGGAGGAAATGCCATCCCACCCTCTATGGGACCTGCACCGCCCTAGGGCAGTTACATTACATCACTTTTGATGGCTTGCGCTACGACTTCTATGGGACCTGTGTTTACCGCCTGGCTGAGTTCTGTCACCACAGGAGTGTAAACCTCACTTATTTCCAAGTTCTGGTCCAGCACGAGCAGAGGGGACTCAAGAACCCTTCTGCCGGCAAGGTCACTGAGATCAAGGTTTATGGGGTAAAAATCGTCGTAAGCCATAACCAAGTTTTGGTAAGTGTACCTCTTCCTCCTCCTGTACCACCATCGTCTACCCTTCCTCTTCCACCTCCTCATTCTGTTTCTTGTGTTGAACCACTAGAGATGGACCTCAGGGTTAACTTGAATGGAAAACTCCATGAAATAAACGCTCTCTTTTTCTGGTGCTGGAGCCTTTCACAGCCTCCCAGGATCTGAAGTCCATGATTCAGGATTCCAAAAAAAGAGGCTGCCAAAATTTCATGGGATACGCAAAAATGTTTGCGACAAGTATCGAAGAAAAGATGCTTCCTGTCGTGTTTTGATCTTCTTCTTCTGTCCTTTGCTTTCCAGCTGAACGGCTTGTTGATCAACCTGCCCTATAATATTGAATACGACAAAGTCGCTCTGTACCGCCATGGCTGGGATATTGTGATCGCCACTGATTTTGGTTTAACAGTCACATTTGATGGAAAGAACAATATCCGGCTCACTGTACCGGGGACCTACAGGAGTCTCCTATGCGGCTTATGTGGAAATTTCAATGCAAGGGCAGATGATGACATGATGCAACAAAGTGGAACTCTGACGACTAGTCCAGGAGATTTTGGCAGAAGCTGGAAGGTCCGCGACATTCCAGGCTGTACTGAGAAGGAGAAGGTGGCCTGCCCAGACGCCCACAACGTGGAACGCACACAGAGGACAAGCAAAGAGTGTGGCATCCTTCTACACTTGCAGGGTCCCTTCAGGTTGTGCCACAGCAAGGTGGCTGCTGAATCGTACTTCAAAGACTGCGTCTTTGACTACTGCTCCAATAAGGGCAACAAGAATGCCATCTGTCACATTTTGTCCTCCTACGCGGCAGCATGCCAAGCGGCTGGTGTCAAGGTCGAAGAGTGGCGATCCACTAACCTCTGCAGTAAGTTTGTGGACGTGGCACTTATAGAAAACTCAACTCTAGTTACTGTGAAGGGATAATGTCTAGAAAAGCCACCATTAAGACTAGAACAAGATCTTTTCTGAATCACCTGGAGCAGTGGTCCTCAACCTTGGGCCTCCAGATGTTCTTGAACTACAACTCCCAGAAGCCTTCACCACCACCTTGGCTGGCCAAGATTTCTGGGAGTTTAAGTCCAAGAACATCTGGAGGCCCAAGGTTGGGGACCACTGACCTGGAGGACAAGAGGAGAGTAGACTACTGTATCTAAAAAAGAAAATGGAGAAACCCCAAAAACAGAACCTCCAGTTTGCTAGATATATTTGGACTCCAACTCTCATCATGTAGCCAATGGTCAGGGATAACTGGCAGTTGTAATCCCCCACTTTCCGTAGGGTTCCTCCTACTGGTTCAGAAAGATGTCTTCCTCTCTCACCTAGTTCTACATCTTGAGATCCTACAGATAAATTTTGACAAAAAATTAAGGATAGGCAAAATGAAACGGCTTCTTTGCACAACCTGCAATAAATGGTAGAGTCAGGCGTTTGTCAGGTGTGTAGGATCTATCTTGATCTTTTTTAAATTTTCAAGATTCATCGAAAAGAAAGTTTGGTGAAAAGGCAGCTACTCTGAATTAAAAATTGAGGTTTTTATGAGAACATTCTCAATCTAAGGGCTGGTTTCCAGTACAGGACAGAACTGAGCTGGTTTCTGCAGGCATCTGTCCATAGGTGCAAGGAGCGGCAGGGGGTTTAATGTTTTTTTTAGTAACCCCCCCCTCCACAAATTGACTAATAAATTGATGCTTCGTTGGTTCACAGGGGGAAGCTGCATGCTTCATGAATTTTAACGAATCACGAAGCAGAACGACTCGCCAAAATGGTGACTCATCCCCATCTCTAGTCCATACATATGAGAGGTCTGTCCACAAAGACCTCTCACAGAAAAGGGTACTCAATATTTGCCCTCAAATGTCTTCATTTCTTCATTTTAGCAGCTTAATTATGATGAGAAAACCATGTTGTTGTTGCTATTTTCAAATAACTGGAAATGAGAAGCTTATCTGACCTATCGAAAAATCTGTAAGAAAAGTCTATCAGTACTTCTCACACGACCTTCCAGTGCTTATTCCTGGAATTCTGGCCCTCCTCAGGATATAATAATGTCCAGTTTAAATGATTTTACATGAGGATTAGATGAATTTATGGAGGATAAAGGCTGAATTGGAAGAAACAACAATTTTGCATTTAATTATTAAATTTTTGCAATAGTTTGAACATTTCTCTTTCCTTCTGTCTTGCACATCAAATTAGTTTGTTTGTGGTGGTCCACCTGGAGATAAACACAGCTTCATTTACAAATGAACTGACCACTCAGTCATGTGACTCATCACTGGAAAAAGCAGTGTGTGTCAGCTTCTAAATTCAAAGTTTCTATCTTTAGTTAGATCCTAAGTCTATCCACGGTTACTAGTCCATGGGCTAGAATGCTGGACTATATAGACTGTTGATTTAATTCAGCAAAATTTCTGTTATTCCTGGTTTCAAGATGAGGAATATCTGGATAGCCTTCTTAGACATCCTTCTAGAACACACACTTGGGTAACCAAACCATCTTGCTATACAATTCCCAGAAACCCCACTGGTTATGAAGCCATCTGTGAACTGCAGACCAGGAACAACTGGATTATCCAAGTTTGGGAATCATTGTTCTAGAATATCACATTGAAGCTTTCCTAATATCTGAGCATGTATGAAATTAGTCTGAATGCCCATCTTTGTCTCTCGCCAATGCAATTTGCTTTAACCCCCTTGTCCATAATGTCTGATATTCTCACTTTAGGGAGAAAAGGATTAAAGTGGGGAGGTATTTGGAAGAGTGGTAGGAACTGGTGGCCCATCACGTGTCAGCATACAACTCCCATCATCTGTAGCCAGCATAGCCAATGATGAGTGATCATGGGAGCTGCCCCCAATCTAAGGGGCCAGAAGTTCTCCATCCTTGCTTCAGATGATGATTTTGGGTTTCTTCCTTTTTCTCCCCAGAACCTAACTGCCCTGCAAACAGCCAATACAAGGTGTGTGCCAGCAACTGTCCCATGACATGCCGTAGCCTTTTCAATCCAGTGCCTTGTACTGCCAAGTGCCATGAGGGGTGTGAGTGCAATGAAGGCTTTGTTTTGAGTGGTGACCAGTGTGTTCCCATCTCCCAGTGCGGCTGCGTCCATCAAGGCTTCTACTACAAGGCAGGGGATTCTTTCTATCTCAATGGGTTCTGCAAGGAGCGGTGTGTATGTCAAGTAGGTGGAATCATGGAATGCCACCGTTCTTCGTGTGGTCCAAATGAGGAATGCCGGCTGGTCAATGGTGTCCAGACGTGCCACTTTCTTGGTTCCAAGAGGACTGGAACTTGCCATGTGGCCGGTGACCCACATTACATCACCTTCGATGGCTCCATCTTTGACCTCCAGAGCAATTGCTCCTACATCTTGGCCAAGAGCTGTACACGCCAGAGTTCTGTTCCATCCTTTTCTGTCAATGTGGAGAATGAGAGGCGCTCCAAGGGAAAGGTTTCTGTAACCAAGGCTGTCTCTGTCACAGCCTATCAAAACACCATCTCCATCATGCGGGAAAAGAGAGGCATCATTCTGGTAAGACTCTGTGAACGGGTGAAATGGATACGGTGAAGCGTCGCTAGAAGGAAAGGTATTCTTAGGTTTATAGAATCTGAAGAGAAGACTGAATATTGCTTTCAGACTGTGTGGCTAGTATCAGACATAGTATCTAAGATGAATAAGACAAGTGGCTGCAAATACAAGTCAGCTTTAGAGAAAATGTAGGGCATTTCTGGGAAACGAGGCTCTGTGTTCTACAAATGCACACACAACGAAGGTCTATTGGAGACTGCAACAGTACCATATTTCAGTACAGTGCTCTTTGGTGCAAGAGGATGACTTAGTGCCTGTCTCAATTATAGTGCCTGCCAGTATGTAGAGTATCTCCTGAAGGGAAAAATATAAAGAGCACAGTAACAGCAGGTATCACCCATTTTTGAAGGCGTTTTGTCAGTGGCAGTGCAGATGGGAAGCAGTGAGAGTAGTTGCTGTAACTATGTAATGTAGATGTGTTGGCACTTTTAAGTTCTATGGGCTCTTTGCTTACTATTGGGGAACCTTGCAAACCCAGTTTCACAAAACAACCGTCTTATTTTGCATTCATATAATAGACAACATGAACAATTATAACAACAACAGAATGCTGCAATTTGTGCACCCAAGTCCTTGGCAGAAGCACCAATACAGAAGTTGCTTTTAGAATTTGCAGAGTTCAAGTGTTCCCTTTGATTTCAAAGTCAGACAAAAATCCAAGATACCTTCCTCAACTGGGTTGGGTATCCATAAGACAGGAGAATCTTCAAAGCCCTAAAATAAAATATCAATACAACTGTATGCAATTCATGAATTCACTGTATAGATTCGCCCCTCCAAAACAACCATATAAAAATTATACCTGAACCTAAACTGCCCAGAGCAGACATGTTCTAGATGGGCAGTAAAGTTAAAGATAAAGGTTCCCCTTGACAATTTTTTGTCCAGTCGTGTTCGACTCTAGGGGGCGGTGCTCATCCCCGTTACCAAGCCATAGAGCCAACTTCACCCCTCCAAAACAACCATATAAAAATTATACCTGAACCTAAACCGCCCAGAGCAGACATGTTCTATATGGGCAGTATATAAGTCTAATAAAATAAAATGAAATAAATAAATAAGTTGGCAAGGGCCTTGGTAGTCCAGCTGGTAACAGTAGCTCTGGCCTCTTCAGCTGTCCCTGTCTTTCTGAGATTCAAGCCTCTTACTCATAGCCCTATTCTTTCTTAGTCTCACCCCTTTGGGCTGAACCAATATTTTATAGGGGCTACAGATGCACAGGCTATAAGAAGTCTTTAATCAGTGGCTCTTTGCCACTGCTGATGGCATCACCCCCATTGCATACATGGAACTGTACAACAGGATTTCAGCCATGGGACCAAATGAGGTCTCTGACCACTGTCTCATTGCTAATCCCAGCTAAGAATAGATCAGCGGAATCAATTGCTAAATAATATGTAAACCCAGCTGTAAATGTCACTGTGTTGATAGGTCTACTCCAATCAAGGCTAGCAATAGGGCATTGGCCTGTCTCTTGTTAATCACCCACTAATGCTTAACTGCCACTGCCACAGGTGAACGGTGCAACCACCTTCTTACCTTTCCGTTTGGAGAGCGACAATATGTGGGCGTACTACCACGGTGACAACATTGTGGTTCGAACCGACTTTGGCTTATTCGTCTCCTTCGACCAGCTCTACCACCTTATCGTCAAAGTCCCTGAAGTTTACCAGGGTCAGATGTGTGGTCTGTGTGGCAATTTTAATGGCAGACCCCTGGATGACATTGTCCTGCCAGATGGTCATCCGGCTGCGAGTATCCAGGCTTTTGCAGCCGCTTGGAAAGTGGATGGCCCGCAGGCTGCCTGTGCAGAAGACTGTGCGGCTTCGGTCTGTGGCGCTTGCCATGCAAGTCGGAAAGCAAACTATGTACACAACAGTCAGTGTGGCATTCTGCAGGCGCCGTATGGCCCCTTCAGTGCTTGTTATTCCACCATCAACCCTGCGAACTTCTACAACAATTGTGTGCATGATCTTTGCAAGGCCCGAGGGAACCCCGTGATCCTCTGCCGTGCGATCCATGGCTATGTCACGGCTTGCCAAGCTGCTGGGGTTGTGATCCAACCCTGGAGGACAGCAAAATTCTGCCGTAAGTATTCCTACAAACCCAGTTTTCCAGGGAAACACCGTCCCCGACATCAGACTACAGGCATGACATCTGCAGAACCTTTATGGCCTCTTGTGCTGATACTGAAATACTTCACTACACTTCCAAGCACTGCTTCCATGGGAGTTATCAACTACCTGACCAATATGGAATCAGTGATAAAAGAAGAATATAACATCATTGCTATATGACCCCAAGTCAGGCAGTTACTTTTCTACTGTTGATTTAGAGTAGGGTAGGCAACCCTGGGATCCTTACACCCCCATATACAGTGGTGCCTCGCATAACGAGCGCCCCGTTTTATGACGAATCCGCAAAGCGATGCAGATTTTGCGAATGCTTTTGTGATTGCATTGTGATGTTTAAATAGGGTAAACATCACATTGCGATGATCGGTAAGCGTTTCGGGTTACCGATCTTCACATTGCGATGTTTTAGAACAGCTGATCGGCTGTTCCAAAATGGCCGCCGGATCAACAAAATGGCCGCGTTTTCGCGCCGATTCCTCGCTTACCGAGGCGGTGAAAATGGCGGCCCTATGGAGGATTCCCACTTAGTGGTGAGTTTATCCCCCATAGGAACGCATTAAACGGAGCTTAATGCATTCCTATGGGGTTTTTATATCTGTATAGCGATGTTTCCGGATAGCGACGATTTATCCGGAACGGATTATCGTCGCTATGTGGGGCACCACTGTATATATATTTTTAAAAGCTCTGAAAAATTTAATTGTACCTTGTAGGGGCTTTGGGGTCAATTTTGTCATGCTTTGAATTTCCCCCAGCAACCATGGGCACACCAATAATATAAGAGAAGCAGATGGTAATCAGGATCTGAGATTCACTAAATGTCCATTCACTCGCCTTAAAAGCATGTTTACCCAATGTCTGGAGGGGGGCACACACTTTCCACACACCCCCAACAACATCCCTGCTTTTGTTACCTTCTACACATGAGAGGTAGAGACTGAGAACCTCCATAAACCATAAAGGCAATCTCCACAAGATTTTGGATTTCTTAGACTATAAATCCCATAATTTTCCATTCTGGTTCTACTTGATTTGCAACCCCCTTACAGACACTTAAATGTGCCTCATCTGGGAGAAAAGGCATAAATTGGAAAGTTTTGAGGCTTAGCTAGGCCCAGCTTCCTCTTCAGCTAGCATGAAGGAAGAGATAGGAACCTTGCGTGGCGCTAGGCCTAATTAGGTCCCACAGCCTTCCAATTCTGACCTTTTCTCCCACATGAGCCATTTTTAGGTTCTGTAAGAGATATGTGAATAAAGTGGAACTCCTAGAATGAGGAATTGCGGGGCTTGTAGACCAAGAAATTCAAAATTTTCATTCCTACTCTCCACATGAGCTGAAACACTGGGAAATGAGGATGCTGACTCACATGGAACTGCTCTGTGCATAGCAGAGCCTCTCCACTTCAAGTTCCAGACATAGGAAAATGATAAAAGTGGAGACAAAGAGGAGGTTAGCTCCCTTCCCTTCCTGGCATCTTGATCTCTACGGATGACTGAAGAGGACTTAAGATATAAAGATGAAAAAACATGTCCACGCTGTTAGAACCTGGACTCCTCAGCTCTGTATGTAGCTCCTTCGTGTCTCCAGAACTGGGTCGGGGGGAGGAAGCATCTGCTGTAGCAATAAAGGAATTTTAGGATCCAAACTCATCCAGGCTGGGTATTTGACCTTCCTAGATAGGAAGGGCTTTTCCCAGCTCTCTGTTTAGCTAGACAGTGTTCTTGCACAAAGAACTTCTTCCTGGTCAGCATGTTCTGTTGTGCTCCTCAACATGCCTTTGTTTCTTAGTTCCTAATTCCTATCATATTTCCTAGTGCTTTAATAAGCTCTGACTCCTGTCCGTGATTTAGTCTTCACCGCCGGAGGAGATAGACTTGTCATGTATCATTAATCCCAAACAGAAGTCATAAAGCTCGGGTTCTGAAAGATTTAGCATAGTGAGGAGGTATGGTGCCATTTTCTTTAACCATTCTTGCGTCAAATTGTATCTGATTCACTTAGTAATTTCTCTCTGTGGGGAAAATAATTGATAGGTTGTTTGAAGAAGGGCAATAGGTTCACACTTTGGATGCAAGAGGTAAAAGAGAGAGTACCTGCATACATCAGAAGGAAGCACTTAATCACACAGCACATAACTAAATGGTGGCATTTGCCAGAGGCAGAGGGTGGTGCCCACCTGAGTGTCTTTAAAAGGGAACTGGGCAGATGCCAAAAGAACAAGGCTATCAATAACTCCTAGTTGTGTTGGCTATACAGTATAAATCACCTCCGGTATTGGAGGTAGTGAACCTCTGTATGTCCTTTGTTGGGGAATGTAAGACATAAGGTGTGCTCATGTCTGGCTAGTGGGCTTCCCATAAGCCACTGGTTGGCCACTGGGGCAAAGGAGTGTTGGGCAAGATAGGGCTTTGGCCGGATCCAACAGGACTTCCCCCCATGCTCTTACGTCCTGGCTTCAAGCAATGACTACCACCAGCTACAGCTGGGGAAGGTTCCAATTTGAAATCTGGAGAGGTGCTGTAGATCAGTGGTTCTTAACCTTTGTTACTCGGATGTTTTTGAACTGCAATTCCCAGAAACCCCAGCCAGCACAGTTGGTGGTGAAGGCTTCTGGGAGTTGCAGTCCAAAACTCCTGAGTAACCCAAGGTTAAGAACCAGTGCTGTAGATCAACCTGATATCTTCCAGAAGTTTGTCATTTTAACTCCCATCACCTCTAGCCAACATGAGCAATGATTAGTGATGATGAGGCTAGTGAAACATATCTGACTTGGGGAACCATATCTGGGTTGATCTAGATTAGGTAAAGAAAAGGTTCCCCTTGACATTTTCAGTCCAGTTGAGTCTTACTCTAGGGGGCGGTGCTCATCCCATTTTTCAAGCCGTAGAGCCAGCACTTGTCCAAGGACAGTTTCTGTTGTCGCGTGGACAGCGTGACTAGGGAACGCCGTTTTACCTTCCCACCGAGGTGGTACTTATTTATCTACTCGCATATACATGCTTTCGAACTGCTAGGTTGGCGAGGAGCTGGGACAAAGCGACGGGAGCTCATTCCGTTGCGTGGATTCGATCTTACGTCTGCTGGTCTTCTGACCCTGCAGCACAAAGGCTTCTGCGATTTAGCCCGCAGCACCACCACGTCCCTCTTGATCTAGAATGGGCCAGTGTAAAGCTATATCCTAGGTACTTTTACTGTCATGGAATAACTTAATCTCCACCAATCTTCCTTGCAGCTATGAAATGCCCAGCCAACAGTCACTATGAACTCTGTGCGTCAGCTTGCCCCAGCAGATGCAAAGAGGCAACCAGCATCACCAAATGTCCAAACTACTGTGCTGAAGGATGCCAGTGCAGAAAGGGTTACTTTTTGGCTGGGTACCACTGTGCACCTATCAGTCAATGCCGGTGCTTCCACAAAGGCATGTGGCTTAAGGCAAGTGATTGTTGTACTTTGTGAAGATACACATGGCCTGTTAGGCTACAGCATTACAAATCAGCTATCCAAAGCTAAGTTACTTCCAGATATCACTGGACTACAACTCCCAACAGCCCTAGGAAGTATCCAACAACTCATTTTGGAAATTTCTGCTTATGAGATAAGATGTGAATTTATATCAGGGCTTTTGCTACTAGAGATGTACCATGTTTCCCCGAAAATAAGAGGGTCTTATATTGATTTTTGCTCCAAGAAACACATTAGGGCTTATCTTCAGGGGATGTTTTCTTGTTTTCATGTACAACAATCTACGTTTATTCAAATACAGTCATGTTGTCTTCTTCTGGTTGCTGCACAAGGGCGGAGGGCAGGGTTTCACTGAACTGGGACTTATTTATGGGTAGGACTTATATTACGAGCATCCTGAAAAATAATATTAGGGCTTAATATTAGATCTTATTTTAGGGGGAACAGGGTAGTTCCCAGCCTTGTGTCTCCAGATGTTCTTGGACTACAACTCCCATAAATTCTGGCCAGCATAGCTAGTGGTTAAGATTTTTGGGAATTTTAGTCCAAGAACATCTGGGGACCCAAGGCTGGGGACCACTGGACTAGAGCGATTGTTCTCCTTAAAGCACACTGTTCCACACTGGTGCTATGTGTGTGTTTAGTGCCATCCATACGACGTTTCCTTTTGTTCATGGAGTATGGGTGTTTTTTGTGTGACTTTCAGGTCTTTTTCAAGGCTTCTGAAAACCTTGTTTATTTTTCAGTGTCAATTTCCCTGAAGGTGGAGTTCAGCCTTTTTAAAAAATTCTTTGCAGTTACTTTTCTCAGTGGTCAGAAGCTTTCAGCTAGCACTCAGGTAGCCCAGGAAAAAAAAAGAATGAAAGATAAGAGAAGCTCTAGTAGAAAAGTAGCTGTGTTTAATTTTTCTTAAAAGATTTCTTAAAGATCTCACAAGGAGAGGCATATTTGTAAGGAGAAAAAAAGTGAGGTTTTTCCTCCAGGCAGCAAAAAGGGGGTTGTTGGTGATGAGAAACATGAAAATGTTCCGAAATCAAGCTACTTCGTTGTCTCTGAACTCTGCTGTGTTTTCTTCGGTCAGGTTGGCGTGAAGGTGATCACACCAAACTGCAAAGAGGAATGCAGCTGCCAGCGCCAAGGCCAGGTGGTGTGCACACCACTTCCATGCGGGCCTGGGCAAGCTTGTGTCTTGAGTAATGCCAAGTGGACTTGTGTTCGGCAGGAGGGGCATTGCACCGTCGCCCACGGGCATATCTTCACCTCTTACGATGGGGTATCAGGAAAGCTTCCTCTGGACGGAGCCTATGAGATCTCTGCCCTCAACGATGCCCAGTCTCAATCTTGGTTCCGGGTGGTGGCGCAAGTGCACAAGTGCTCCACCTGTCCTACCCCCGTGGTGGTCTCTGTCACTATCTACTTCCACAAGTTTATTTTGCTGATCAAGCAGGATAACTCAGTTTCGGTAAGAAACAGAAAATCACCCCTGACAGAAGTCATGTTCTTCTCACCTTGCTTTTCTGCATCTTCTACTTTCTTTTTTTTCCAACAGAACATGAATGTAAATAATTACCCTCCTAATCAAATTAAGGGACGTGGTGGCGCTGCGGGCTAAACCGCAGAAGCCTCTGTGCTGCAGGGTCAGAAGACCAAGCAGTCGTAAGATCGAATCCACGCGACGGAGTGAGCGCCCGCCGCTTGTCCCAGCTCCCGCCAACCTAGCGGTTCGAAAGCATGCAAATGCTAGTAGATAAATAGGGACCACCTCGGTGGGAAGGTAACAGCGTTCCGTGTCTAAGTCGCACTGGCCATGTGACCACAGAAGAGTGTCTTCGGACAAAAACGCTGGCTCTATGGCTTGGAAACGGGGATGAGCACCGCCCCCTAGAGTCGGACACGACTGGACAAAAATTGTCAAGGGGAACCTTTACCTTTTTACCTTTAATCAAATTAAAGGATAAGAAGTGAGAGTAGCAAGAGGAAATGAAGAACAATTATGTAATTAGCAGAGGTTTTTAGTTGGATCCAAACCTAGTTGTAGTAACTCTTTAAAATCAGTGGAACTTATATTACCAGTGCATTTAACAAATGCTCTCCTATTTTCTCATCCATGAAGGGAAGAGGTGTCTCAGCACAACAAGACACTCTACCAAAAAGAAAACGATTAACCAAAACATGTTAGATTTTTTTGCATCTGCAACAGAATGAAAAGACCTGGATTTTTCTGAATCCGCATCAGCAAAAGCAAGAAACAAAGCAAAAAAACCAAACTCCCAAAACTATATTTGTTTTGAAAAATACATTTTGCATAGAAATTTTATATTTTGCTCAAAGGCATTTACGTGCATTTGCAAGATTTTAATGCAAAAATTATTTCCATATTTTTTTAAGGAAAGAAGTCCTAAATAGAAAAATCTATACCAAATTTCTCAGCATCATTCTCAGTGAGGAGAAAACTTCTTAACCCTTTTGTTCTCAACTGTGAGAAGGAAATAGGAGAAGAGTTACATCCATGGTCATGACCCACTTAAGTCACATTGATTTCAATGGATCTACTCTATGTATGACTCATCTTGCATGATCACCATGATGATTTTGCGCTGTCGATCATCTGTGCATCTTGATTCTTCCTCCTTTGTCTACCTCTGCTACCCTCTCAAACAGTTTTTGTTGTCTCCGTGTGACCTGCTGGTCTCCATTTTATAGGTGAATGGACATCCAGTGCACCTCCCAGTTCAACCTTCCAAGGAGATCTCAGTGAGCCTGGCTCAAAATGTGGTGGCCGTAACGCATGGAACTGATGTCCGGGTTCTCTACAGCACCAGAGGAGATCTGACCTTGGTGGTCAGTGGGACACTTGCTAACAAACTATCCAAATCTTGTGGGAATTTCAACGGCAATGGTGCTGATGACCTGCGGTTACCTGATGGTAGGGTAGCACACACCATCACAGAGGTCATCAGCCACTGGAAAGTTACAACGGCAACACAGAATGGTAGGTTGGGGTAGAAATGACAGTAACCTCATTTTCCCAAGACCTGCTCATCTTAGTTCACAAATGTTAACAAGTGAAAGTTGTACATAAGTAGGAGCTATAAGGGAAGAATATAAATCTCTAAATATATAGCATGATACTCTTACCCACACCAATGTGTAGAAGTTCAAAACAAGACCGGAAAATGATGCCTTAGTGATTTAGGAAATATAATTGTTAATCCTATGTACAGTAACCCATTGAACTAGGAGTAGATATATTCTAGAAATTCAAGGGCTGCCCTTGCCAGCCAGTAGACTTTGGTTGGCCATACCCACTCCTGTGCCCCAATGATCAGAAATATCTCTTTTAAAATCCATTTTTTAAAATGGAAAAAGCTTCCTCATGCCTCCTAGTGGCCAAAAATATATACAAAGAATAAAAAAGTTTTAAATATTAATGTGGATCGTGTGAAGAGTCCTAAAACATGACAAAAGTGACTCTCACCCCCTTTATAGGGTACACAGTTTCAGCTGAAACTGGCAGTGAATGAGGGAGGTTGGGCTGGGACAAGCATGCCTGAGGTACAGAACCCAAGAGTAGCACTTCACCCAACATTCAGTGAATGGAAGTTGCATATGTCCTGACATAACAAGAGCATAGGTATATTATGGCTAGCAGCAACAATGGGATCTAGCTCTAGATTTCTTCTACTCCCATATACAGCACCATGTATAGCATCATAGGGTCATATCTCTTGACCCAAGTGTCAAGTGATGATGAGCACGAAGTATGTTTCATGTGGTCCCTAGAGACATAGCTTGCAAAACCGCAGATGGTGGGACTAAATATAAATTTTAGAGTACATCTGAAGATGGTTAGACAAAGTTATTTTCCTCCCTCTAGGCTGGATATCCAGAATTTTGGGTGGAGCTAGTCATCAAACCAGAACGCAACAAGCTCCTGGCCAATAGCTTCTCTTGAAACAAGGGAATGAAACCTAGTCTAGGAAAACCTGGAAGTTGTCATTTGAAAGAAATAGAGATGCTTGTGTGGCATGCTGTCTCAAGAACAACAAATCCTAGAACTCCTTAATTCCTTCTGGCTTTCCTAAGCGCTGACAGGAAAATCGAATGTTTTGTAGCAACAAACAAGATAAGATTGAGTGCAAGCATTCCATTGGTTCTACAATTAAACAAATTGGACTAAACCCATTGATGTTAGTGGGTCACATGAACCAGAATTAACTTATGTTAATTTCTGAGGGTCCATTTTAAGAGATGTACTCTGAGGAGGTTTTGAAGATTTTGTAGGGTTGACTTGACAGCACATAACAACCATTCTGAGGGAAATAAATTCCATCGAATTTAATAATAATCAAGTCAATTCTGACATGATGACAATTTTCAGGGTCTTCAAGGTAGACAATACTGAGAGGTGGTTCACCATTTCTTTCTTTTGGTTGTGCCCAAAGCTACACAGGCTGACTTTTTTCCCCACAGGAGGCACAGTGAGGAATTGAACCCCCAACCCCTATCTCCACAGCCAGATACCTAAACCACTGAGTTATCTAGTTAATCCAACGTTTACACCCATTTTGGAATTGCTTTCCCTGATCCACAGCTAAACACAGTTTTGTCATTTTCTTGGGGTTTCAGAATCCTGATGACCAATATACAAGAAAGTGATCACTCTCTTATTTTCCTCTTTTCTCCCCTCTTTTTTTTTTTAGATCGCTTTAAAATCCACTCCTACTGAAGCCTTTAATTTTGGATCAGCCTTCAGAAGCTCACCACGGACTGTTATCATGGCAGAGACACCCTCTGCCTCACTGAATCCCAGGGAAATTATGGTCGGCTGATCTCCTGAGAAGATCCAGTCTCTCTTCTTGCCCGACTGATCGCAACTGCCTCCCAATAATAAAGCTGTGCCGGCTCTTTGGCTCCTCATTGCTGGGGATCCAACCCAACTGAGATTGTACATAGCTCTTAGATCAGAGGTAGAAAACTTGATGCCACCTAATTTTTTGGGGGGGGACTACATCTCCCAGAATTCCTGACCATTGGTTGTGCTGGCTGGGGCTGGTGGGAGTTACAGTCCAAAACACCAGGAGGGCACCAGCTTGCCTATCCCATCTTAGATCTTTATCTAACCCCACCCACCCCTTATTCCTTGAAGTGGCATTGCTCAACGTTTTACACGGGTTTAGTTAGCTTATACACATTGGACTCCAAAGCATCAAATCATGTACCTGGATGATTTATCTTTGCTAGACACATTTCCATCTGAAGTGGGACTGCTGTTTCCTGGAAGAGAGCTAAGTCGTGGTTCACGGCTTAAACTTCAGATGCTTTGGAACAGGGCAAAGTAGTATTTCATTCATAATAGTTTATTGACCTGCACTCAGCTGAAACACTAGAAGAATCAATAAATGCTTTTGGTAAAGGCTTTGAGTTTGTGGACGTGCATCATAAAAAAAAATGATTCCCATCCCCAGGGTTGGCTGTTTTCATCAAGCTGTTGCAGCTTCAGCAGAAGCCAGATCATCAGATCTAAGCAAGGGCAAAAAAATTAAAAATAATACAAAAAGATGGAGGGACTAGAGGACAGCAAGTGTAAAAGTCACAAAAAAGTTATGGTGTCTCAGGGAAAATGAGAAAGATAATAATTTTGATTGCATGGTCCTTAGCTTTCAAGAATGCCTATGCCCCAGGCTTTAAATGTTTTGAAGCACCAAGACAGGATACAGCCCTTGTTAACTCCCACATCTCTCTTTTGCCATCGTACATTAGCCACCCCTCACATCTTGTTACATGAAACAAAACTCCCAAGTATGCCTCGATTATTGGGGGAGAATGCTCAACAAGGCGACCGGCGGAGAAACAGGACTGGAGACACAGCAGCTCCAATTAATCTTGGTGTGATGGCTAAAGAGTGGGAAGGCAGGAAGGAAGGAAGGAAGGAAGGAAGGAAGAGGTGGGAGTTGTTGGCTAGTTGCAGGAGGGCTTAAGTGGCTGTTGAGAATCTTCAGCAGTTTTTTCAGAATTCAATTGTCACATAGTCATGTAGGAGAGAGGTAGAGAGGTATCAGTAGTCCTGAAAATTGAGCAGGCCACATGTGGATATTCAGTGACAGTCCTAACAAGATATTTCTTGGAATCAGTTCATGTTGAAGCAACTCCACACCTTTGCTAAAAGTTGCAGCTGTTCTACTGGAGTGATCTTGGGATTCAGGCAGAATGAAGTCAAAAAGATTTATTAGCAATGAGCTGTTTTATTGCACACCACCACACAAAGATACTTGTAATAGTTTCATTAAACGAAGTTACCCACAAGAGCCAGCCTCAGGTATCAGAAATGGGAGAAAGATGCAGAGAAGCCTAACACCATCTTCTTGCTTGACTCTGATCTTCTTCACATCACGATAGCAAATCTGAACAAGTCCCATAAAAATAGAAGTTCTCCAACTTTTAAAGATTAGGCCTGAGCCAAAGAGTTTGCCTTGTAAGAAATACCATGAATCAGAAGAAAACATGCCGATGATTATCCAAATCCGATTTTTAAATGCATCTTTTCATAATGTACGAATACACCAATTTCCCATTGCACTGGAACACCATTAGACGGGAACTTTCCATTCACCAAATCACATTTCTTTCAATTCACACTAAGAAAAAAGGAAAAGAGAGGAAAATGGCAGTTAGAACATACCAAAGTCTGAAAAAGTTAGTAGTTGAGTTAATTCATTTGCCATCTATATATAATTTTCATTCAAACCGAAGGTTTTTAAAAAAATAAAATTTAAGTCTATGGGCCTGATCCATGTTGGGTGATTGGCATGGTAGGACTGGGGGTTGGGGAAGTTAAACCTTTTATTCTCCTATACTTTATTTTAAACAACCTGGCTATAATTTGATCCACCAATATGTTCAGCAAGCACTTCTAAGTATCAATCATGACAATGCCATCACAGCAAGAACTGTACATTAGTAGCAGTCGATTAATAGTAGCAGTATGTTCTGCTGTATGTATATTGGACTTCTGTCTTCCCATGGATATGAATGGATGGATCAGCATTCCTTGTGCATCCCTTTCAAAACACAGAACTGGCACTGGCAAGGAAATGAACATGGAAGACATCAGGGATGGGATTTTCCTAATTCCAGGACTCCCAGTCCCAGACGCCACCTAGAACCTTGCCCGTCAAGACAATTCTAAGACAAAGCAAGGGGAAAGATAAAGTCAAAAGAGAAATCTTCTTGCTGCCATTATCAGCTTTGCTACACCTGCTTTAAATGAAAAGCAGAAATGAACGCAGACACCCCCTCAGTTCACTTCTTGCTGGGATTTGTCTCACTGCTCCATGGGAAGAGTAGTCTCATTGCCCATCCAATTCTATAGGGGGAGATATCCAATAGATTGTCTCCCAAGAAAGTGGAGTTGGGAGTCCTGAAATTAGAAAAATCCCATCTCTGGAAGTCATTGCAATTGAGAGAGCTCCATCCACACACAGGGGAAAAATCTATCAGGAGGAATAATAATGAAATGTTAACTTACCAAAGAGTGAAATCTCTGGCCGTCCAGGATACCAACAACTCAGGTACGTTATTCACGGCCACTCCATTTGGGTTCTGGAGATCATCGGTCTGATCATGGTTGAAATTTCCACATGCCCCACATACTCTCCCCGACAAAGCAGGCTGGACGGTCACCACCACTCCTCCAGCTGGGCTCCGTGTTACTTGGACCTGCGGTGAGCGCAGGACGACGACATTCCCAGCCACATCCAACGTAATTGAGGTGGTGATATTCAGTGGGATCGGAACAGGCAGTCCATTCACCTGTGAGGTACAAGGATGAAACCAGCAACCTATTAAGGCTTAACCAGGCCAGAAAAAAAACAGACAGCAAATAATGTTGTTCTATAAGGGCTTAGCAGAAAACGAGGACAGTGTGTTTTAATTAAACACTTTATTTCAGATTGTTTTTAGTTGAAAGTCTGCAGAATTATAATAAAATAAAATAAATAAAAATATACCATCTCAATGCTGGAGATGTAAAAAGGAAAAAGGGACCTTTATGCGTATGTGGTGGACTTGTGAAATAAGAAGAAAGAATGGGCACTGGTTTTCAAATATATTAGAGAAATTATTGGATATATTATTCAATTATCACCAACTATTGCCCTCCTAAATATAATTAAGAATGATCATCTTAAAAAAGAACAGAAAGAGTTAATGAAGGTGGCACAGATGGGGAATTCTAGTTGTATTGTGTATGTATAAACATTTTATGTAAGTTTTGTTATTATTATTTTCCTTTAAAAAAAGTCAGCAAAAATTCACAATATTTGGATGTCAGAGAAACTGAGATGTGGACAGATTTGCCTATGGCACCTAGGAAAAGGTGAGAATTTTATGTGTTCATTTTTTAAATCTGAATTTACCAGAACTTCCAAAATTTGAATATGGGAGAAAGTGAAAGTAACAGATCTGTCTATCCCTTCTAGGCATGGGTGACAATTTGCTTTAAAGCTGGTTTTGACCAGAATTTCAAATGTGGGCAAAGGTTCAACTAAAAGTTCTTCCCATTTTTTCTCATCATATTACAAGAGATTTGCCCGTCTGTTTCTACACATTGAAACAGAATTTTCACCTTTTAGCCAGAAGACTACACAGCCACCTAGATAGCATGGCATCCAGGATAACACCCAACGAAAAACATCCAAAGCCTGGATTGGGCCTCTAAATACAGAATATAGATATTTTAATATGTATTTAAAACCTTGTCTTCCATTCCACTTACCCAGACCTCATTCTTGCCATTCACAGTAATGAATAAGTCCTTGAAGAAGACATGAAGCAAGGTGGGAGCAGCAATCTCCTCAGGTGGGCACAACGCAACGCCTGCTACCACACGGAACCAATCTTGAGAGTTAACATCACAAAGGGAAGTCAGAAGGTAAGTGCCAGGAGCAGGAACATCCCCAGAAAGGCCATCGAAGGAGGAGAGCTGAGCTCCTGGCATCAGTTTGCAATGGCCTTCCTTTGGGAAGCAGACCCGTATTTCGTCTCTCAGGCCACATTCTTCACCAGCGGCACAGCTATGAGGGAAGCAAGTCACTGAACCTTTGTCTTCACAAACACAGCGCGTCTTGCAGTCTGCAGAGAGGTAACTCTGCCCTTGCTAAGGAGGAAGAGGAGGAGGAGATGGTCATATATTTCCATGGTCAGAAAAAATAAAATTCTGAAACTAAGGTCAGTTAGGCAAAATGGATTCCCACAGATTGCTTAATAGCATTACAGTACGTGGTTTCGATGATAAGGGTTATTCTGGGCACAAGTCAGAAATTCTGTTTTGAGAGTGAGAAAGCACCACAGGATTGGCCTCTGAGGAACAGGAAATGGGTACATAGGAATGCAAGTGAATATTAAAAGAGGGAGAGAGGAAGAAATGAAATCTATAAGGGAGAATGCAGTCTCAAAAAATAGCCTGGTGAAGATGGAGGAAGCTCACTATCCATAACATGTTGAATATGCCAGCCTTGGGGAGCATGGATCTGGACTGATGAAGTTGAGAGAGACAGAAAGAGAGAGAGATTGATCGATCGATTGATCGATCGATCGATTGATTGACACAGTTACTCCACACAGGCATTTCTATATGGATGGCTAAACGGTTTAGGGCCTCGATATTTGTCGGAATGCCTATTCCCACCAAAATCTACCCATATCACTCGATCTAGCCAGGAGTGTGAGGTTGAGGAGCCTAACACCGAGGGAGGCCCGGAAGGAAAAAACAAGAAATCGGGCCTTCTTGGCAGTGGCTCCTCACCTTTGGAATAAACTCCCTCCTGAGATTCGTATGGCCCTTCGCTGGGCATTTCCGAAAGCCAATTGAAAACTTGGCTGTTTAAACAGGCCTTCCCTCCAGCCACTATTTGATTTATGTTTTTTCTTTTTCTTTCCATTTTGAACAATTGAATATTGATGTTATATATTGATGTTATATATAATTGTTTTATTTTAAGTGTTGTTAGCTGCCCAGAGTGGTCAATTGATCAGATGGGCGGGATATAAATTAAACAAACAAACAAACAAACAAGACTGTGTTAAAAACAACACAGATTGGGTGTGCAAGTTTTAATGAAATAAGTGCTAAACAAATTGCTCTGAAGAAAGGATTGGAGACATGCAGAAGTTAGCAATGACATTGTCTGAATGCTTTAAGTAACTGGAGGGAAATAATTCTGGCCAGATCTCTAGAGTAGAAGCAAACCAAGAATTCCAGCCTAAAAGGCTAGTATAGAAGCAACACGTCAATGATTCCAATCCGAACATCACTGAACCCCCTACCTACCGGGAAGTATCTGTTATTCTCAAAGCAGCCACATTTGTCCAAGGAGATGCATTCAAGGCCATCAAAGAAGAAACCATCATCACACTGACATCCCTCAACACAGTTTTCTGGACACTGAATGTGATCTGTGAGCCCAGCGCAGTTTACTTCACAGACGTTAGAGCAGATATCGTAGTGGCTATTGGCTGGGCAGGTCAGGGCTGCAAGAGAAAGGGGAGAGTGGGTTAATCCACCTCCGTGTATTGGGCTAGTTCCTAAACAATGCACAGAAACGAGCTTCATATATGATCATATATATCACCCCCCCCAAAAAAAAATCTGGTAAAAATTTGTTCTTACGTGTGTTGCATGTGGGTTTATGATGTGACTTCACTGTTGGAAAGGCGTGATAGTAATCTGATTTGATTTGATTTTTGGAAATCAACATGTTACATAACACAGTGCAAGGACCAAAAAGTAATTCATTACCACAAAGGCTGTTATACTTTAAAAAGCTACCCAATGCTTATGATCCTGTTGCTTACCAGAATTTTAGAGTCATCATTGGTGATTTGGTGAGTCAAATCCTCCCTGAGATCCATGGATTCAAATGGATCTTCTCTAGTTGTGGCTTACTAATGTAAAGTAAGATTCAACTAGAGTAGGCCTATTGAATCAATGGAACCTGCTGGGGAGTTGACTCACTAAATTCCTACTGATTCAAGTTGGCTCATATCTAGTGCAATCTCCTACACTAAGCAGCAGGATTTCTGCCCTGCTACTGCTGCTACTTTTAAAACATTATATATATACAGTATCTCACATTGCTGGATGATAGTGTATTTTTGTTCAGCTTTGCCGAATTTGCCCCCATGCAGGATCTGCTTATACTGGTCCATGTATTTTGCAGGGGGAGGTCATCTGATGATGTCCCCTTATTGGCCATTTTCTGAGGATCAGTTTCCACCCTTCCACACCCCCATGAGTGAGTAAAACAAGGGGAGAAGGGAGGAGGAGGAAGTGCAGTGGGTGGGGAGAGAGTTGAAAGATAGGCAAAGAGAGACAGCACTCGGCGTTGGGAGGGTGAGATCAGGCAGTTGGAGCACCAGGATGACCGAGTGGATCTCAGTACATCCAGCATCACGTTTCCCTTTCACTTTCCATATGTGGACACCAAGATCAGGATGATCGATTCCAGTGGTTCCCAACCTTTTATAATAAAAAGGTTGGGAAACTTTGCATAAAAAGGCATTTTTCATGGGGTAAAGCCATCCCTTCTCAGAAAGGAGATGGTCCTTCCCCCCCACCCAGTGACTGTTTCTCATTGATATACATAAAAGCTAACTTTAATATCCCGCTCCGAATCTTTGCACCCATGGTAATAGTACTGCATCCCACTGTTCATGAAATGCAGGACTGAAATTAACATGTACTCACAACAGAAGGACAGGCTCCTCCAAGGTTGGATGATGACTTTGGCCGCTTGGCAGGCAGTCACATAGCTCTGAATGCTCTGGCAGGCGATGGCCTTGTCTCCGCCGCCTATGCACAGCTCGTGGATACAGTTGTTCAGGTACTCAGTGGGGTCGAGGACAGCATGGCAGGCCGCGAAGGGCCCCTCGGGCAAGGTGAGGAGCCCACAGTAGCCGGGTTGCCTGAAGAGCTCCTGCTGCCCCTCGGCACAAACTGGGCACAGGGATCCTGAGCAGCCATCAACGCAGGATACGCCTGGGATCGGGAATTTCCAGGCAGCACCAAACACGGCCACATCGGAGACCACCGTGCCATCAGGGAGCTGGAGATCATCCTCTTTTTGCCCATTGTAGTTTCCACACAAGCCTCTCATCTGATCCTGGTAGGTGTTGGGAAGAGTGACTCTCACATGGTAAAACAGGTCATAGCTCACCGCGAAACCAAAACTGGTGTGGATCCCGACACTGATTCCATGCTGGTAGATTCTCAGATTCCCACCTAGAAGATTCACAGGCAGGTAATAGAACACTCCATCCACCTGTACAAATGAAAACACAGAATCTGATAAGGATGGATGTACAGAACACTCACAGATTTTCTCCTTCTCACTGAAAAAACAATTTCATTGTGAAACCTTGCTTTAAAAAAAAAATTATGGACTGCTCCAAAATGTCTTATTCTTGCCATAAAAATGAGCCCCTTTTTCCCAGCAGTGGCATTCACAAAATATTGCAATTTTTAACACCCCCAAAACATTGCATTTTGTTCGGAAGTCTTTATTTTTGCACAAAAATCTTTCCTGCAATATACTAAAGGGATTTTATACAAAATAAAAGATTTTTGTAACAAAGCCATATTCATAACTATTTTGCAAACAAAATGAAATATGAATATGAAAAACACACACAAGCTTTTATAATCTTGGCCAACAAAGAGAAAAATTCCAAAAGTTTTGCATCTCACTTGTGAGAACAAAAGAGGATTATTTGATTGGCATAAAGCCGAACATTTCCTAGACATTTCACTTGAAGAAGAAAAAACTCTCTATAATCTTCTTTTAAAATGTTGTATTGGCCCTTGATTTAGGTCAGGTGAAAACTTGGTTTGCTTTATAAGAAGTTTCTAAAATTTGGAAATTTATTCAAAAGTGGCATGGAAAGAAATCAATTATTTTTATTTAATCACTCTCTTGGAGGCTGCTATAGCTTTACGGTATGTTTTAATTCATGCCAAAAGGGAGGGCTAGCCTTCTTCCCATCATAGCGGGAAGAGGGTTAGCCCTCCTGTGAAAGAACAGTGTTCAGGGACCCACCAAGACTTGCCCCGGTATGTTCCTTAGCAGAGTCAGATGAACACCAAAGACCTCCACATGGACCACCTTGGGCACAATGATCTCCCCATTCGCCCAGGCCTCGTTTTCCACACTGACTGTGATGGGTTCCAAGTTCACATTCTTTTCCTGTAGTTTGCTGAGGATGTAGGTGCAGGTGCCTTGGAAGGTATAGGCCAACCCGTCAAAGGAAAGATAAAGGCCACCGACAACAGAACAGGTGGCCTTTCCAGTTGGGTGGCATTTCTGGACTCCGTCCACCAGTTTGCATTCTTCATTTGGGCCACAGGGCAGCACTTCGCACACCACGTTTCCACCCGGCTGGCATTGGCAACGCTCTTCGCACTTCGGGTGGAAAGTCGTCAAGGCAGGGTAGTACCGCCCTTGGTAGAAACAGCCACAACGGGCTATCGGGACACAGTCGTGGCCACTCAAGACGAAGCCCTCATCGCACACGCAGTCCTCTTCACACTGGGCAGGGCACGTAACCGGGGCATAAAGGCTGGCACAGCTCTGGCCACAACTCTTGGCACAAACTTCATAGTGACTGTTCTGTTGACATGGCGGGGCTGTGGGTAAAAACAGAGGCTCGTTAGGAATGAGTCCTGCAGACTCATGTCGTGGTCCTTACAAAGCTTGGAGAAGTTCTGTTTCAGGTAGCAGGTCTCAAAAAGGAAAACCCATCCAGGGTGAATGGTGGCCATGTTTACTCTGGAATTCTGGGAGATGCAGTCCAAGAAAGTAAATGTTCAAATCTCAGAACTGAATACATGCCCCTAAGACTTAGCACTAGATCAATGCCTACCAACCTTGGACTAAAACTCCCAGAAGCGTTCAACACTATATCTGCACTGGCCAGGATTTCTGGGATTGCAGTCCAAGAACATCTGGAGATGCAAAGTTGGGAAGCACTGCCATTCATGCTCAGGTGTATAATGGGGAGCAAGCGACAGCCCCCTAGGTTCTTCTTCCTCAATGGCTTGTGGCCATTCCCCTACATTGGAGAACAAAAGCTTACGTGTCTCGCCTCCTAAAATGTATGCCTCACTGACCTGTGTGCTGTGTGCTGTCAAGTCAGAACTGACTGATAGCGACACTAACTGAGTTCTCAATGTAAGTGAGATACTGAAGGAAGAATGGTTTCACCAGTTGCACCCTGTCCAGTGGCTTTCCATGTCCAAGGACGGGTTCGATTCTGGTCTCATGAATTCTAGTCCATCCTTCTGTCCACTACCATTACAATAGGTAACACTCATGACCTAGACCCTGTAAATGATCCTAGTGCAAAGTCAAGAGGGCTCCACCACAAGAACAGTCTGTTTCTATAGACTGATGTCATTCTTTCAAACTGTCTTGATTGTATCACACTAATTGTATGCCATCAAATCGTTTCTGGTTTAAGGTGATACTTTTTAGAGTCTTTTTGGTAAAGAGTACTTAGACGTGGTTCACCATTCCCTTTTTACTGGGACCGTATAGCTCACCCAAGGACACAAAGGTTGGCTCTTCTGGGATGTGCAGCAGGGAACTGAACACCCAACCTCTAGCTCCGCAGCCTGGTGCCTAGGTCCCTGAGCTATCCAGCCAGCTTGTTGACTGTATTACCAGAAAGGCAAGACATAAACGCAGCAAACAAATGAACAGACTAGAGTGTATGGTGTCAGGTTCTCTCAGAACGGCTATCCTACGGAAGCATGGAGCACATCACTGGCACTCAGTCCCATATGTCTGGTCCACCTACGACAGGGATGGACAACTGCAGAAGTTCAAGAACCACTTTCCAGCCAAGGCGCAATAGCTCCTAAGCATGAAAACTACCATGACCATAAAAAGACAACTCTAATATTCAGAATATGTTCTTCTGGGGTCAAAACAAGGTCCGTGCGCATTCTACGGAAATCACAATCCGTGCAGTCTTCTGGAGACCTGATTCTCCATATGGGGTGGAGGATGTTTTTGGGGAAGGACTCAGGGCTCTGGGAGGGTTCACACAAGTCCCGTCCCTGATTTATAGGTATTTATCGTCAGAGGCAGTGCTTTCTGCTATACAGTGGTTGCATGGCAGAGTTATAGGCCCACCCTTGCGTCTCCAAAGACAATTTATGCCACTTCTGA